TCTGTGGATTTTGAATGAATTGCCTTGCCCTTCGTTGGCAGAAGCAAGGGTATGCTCTCACTTCGAGATACTTCCAAAGGTAAAATACTTTTCTCCTTTTGTGGTACTGGAAGTGTTTGCTTGCAGGTATTGGCTACTGGGAACCTATGTGTTATGGTGAATGTCTATGCATTATTTAGACTAAGTGAGAAGAGAAAGTTATGAGATGATTTGTTTATGACAAGAAGGGGTTTTGACAAATTTATGTGGTGTATATTGGATGACTTTAATGCTATGAGATCGGTGAAAGTGAGGAAGGGTTGTAAGGCAAACCATGGTATCTCTAAAATGGATGGCTTCAATTATTTCATTCAGGTAAAGGAGCTTATGGATCTTCCAGTCGTGCGTAAGAAATTTACATGGATAAGGGGAGATGCTTCTATGATGAGCAGGCTGAATAGAGTCTTTGTTTTTTGTTCCTGGCTTGATTACTGGGAGATGGTTTTATTCAGGTTCTAAGTAGAGATGTGTTTGATCATTGTCCCATTATTCTAAAGCACAAAGTAGTTAACTGGGATCCGAAGCCGTTTCAATTTAACAATTGCTGGCTGACTCATAAGGAAGTTGTGGAGGTGGTGGAGGAAGCATGGAAAGAGATATTACCCTTCCATGGACTGCCCAGAGAGCTAGCCAAAGGTTGAAGAATGTTAAAATTGAATTGAAAAAATGAAATATTGAGGTGTTTGAAAATGTTGATAAGGTGTTTTTTGATTTGTCAACTAAGTTGAGCTTGATTGATGATAAAAATTCTGTAATGAAACTTTTCGATGTGGAGAAGGAGCATCAATAGATATTGGTGAGTGATATTTGGAAGGCTAAGAAGAATAGGGAGAGTCTCATAACTCAAAAAGCTCGGGTGCGATGGGGGAAAGAGAGTGATTTAAATACAAAGTTCTTTCATTTGTGTGTTAACAGGAGGAGGGATGAAATAATATACATGCGCTTCAAATTAGAGACAAATGTATCGAAGAGGTTGATGAGATTAAAGCAGGTGTGGTGTCTTATTTTGCGAATCATTTTAATAGTAGATGTTGACTTTGGCCTACTATTGATGTTAATGATTTATCGAGAGTCTCTGTTCTATAGAATAAGGGGCTTGTTAATGCCTTTTTGGAAGAGGAAGTGAGGAGGATGATTTTAGAGTGTGAGGGGGATAAAAGCTTGGGGCCTGATGATTTTAATTTTGTGTTCCTTAAGAGGTTTTGGGAAGTGATCAAGGGAGAAGTGATGGGTATGCTTGTTGAATTTTTTAAAAATGGGAAACTAACTAGGTATTTGTTATCCTACTTTGTATCACTTGTGCCAAAAGTGTCTTGCCCACAATAGATCTTTGATTTTTGGCCTACCTCATTGCTAGGTTTCCTTTATAAGATTGTTTCCAAGCTTCTAGCAAATAGGTTGAAAGAGGTTCTAGATTCAATAATTTTGGAACAATAATCAACCTTTATCCCGGAAAGAAACATGTTAGACACTGTGCTTGTGGTTAATGAGGCAGTTGATTGTATGCGAAGGCATAACAAGAGATGTTTTGTGTTAAAGCTTGATTATGAGAAGGCTTATGATTCAATGGAGTGGAGATATCTTTTGTTTATGTTATGTGGCTTTGGATTTTCAGAAAAATAGGTTAGTTGGATGGAAGCTTGTGTGTGGGGGGATAGCTTGTCAGTTTTGATTAATGGTTGTTCTATATTGGAGGTTCATATTGAGTGGCGCCTAAAATAGGGGGATCCTCTTGCCCCTTTTCTTTTTCTTGTGGCAGCGGAGGGGTTAGAAGTTCTTATGCAGAAGGCAGTAGATTGTGAGTTGTTCTCTATTGTGAAGATTGAGGTTGGGGGACCAGATATTTCTTTGTTGCAATTTGCGGATGACACATTAATTATGGAAGAGGCTTCGATTCAGAACTTGTAGACTTTGAAAGCAGTATTCATAGCTTTGAGTTAATGTTAGGTATGAAAATTAACTTCCATAAAAGCTATGTATTGGGGATTAACACTGGCGATGACTTTGAAAACTTGGCTACAGAGTTCTTACATTGTAAGATTGGTAGTTTACCATTAAAGTATCTCAGGTTATAGTTAGATGTCAACCCGAGGAAGCCTAGTGCATGGAAGGGTGTGTTAGAGGCTCTTAAAAAGATGTTGGCTTCATGGAAGCATAGGTATTTATCGATTGGAGGCAAGGTAATTTTGATTAATGTTGTTCTTAATTCTATGCCATTGCACTCATTATCCTTTTTTAAGGCGCTGAAGTTGGTGATAAAGGAGATTGTCTCTATTCAGCGGAATTTTTTTTATAAAAAGATGTTAATGATGGATCTAAAATTCCCTGGGTGAAATGGGAAACAGTTTGTAAACCACGAAAGAATGGTGGCCTGAGCATTAGAAATGTGCAGTGGTTTAATTAGGCGTTTCTTGATAAATGGTTGTGGTGATGTGTTAATTCTTCTAGTTCATTGTAGGTGTTAGTGTTGGAAGCTAGGCATAGCAGATTAGCTTCTTCTATTCAGCGTCCATCAGTTCACAACTGATGTTTTTTGTGGTGGTGTGATTTGCTGGAGGTTATTCATCAAGAAAATTCATGGTTGGATGAGAAGTTGGATAGGAATTTGAGTGCAAGTTTGCATACCTTTTTTGGGAGAGATAAGTGGATAGGCGGGGTGCGATTGTGTGAGACATTTCTATAATTATTTGCGGTGGCGAGGAATGTTGAATTTTGTATATTGGAGAATGGTTTTCATGATAGCACTAGGTGAGTTTGGGATGTTAGTTGGCAAAGATGACTCTTTCAACATGAGATCTCAAGCTTTAATCTTTTGTTGGAGCTTGTGGATGAAGTTTCTATTAAGGTACTATAAGAAGATAAATGAGTATGAAATGACAGATTCTTCAACTGTAAAGGGATGAGAATAGAAATTTTGAAAAGTTGACCATTTCCTTTTAAGATTTTCCTTGTGCTCTCAACAAAACATGATAAAAGAAGATATACATGCACACAAACACACACACATATATATAATATTTAATTCAAATAAATAAGAAAAAGTTTAAGTAGTTTAGATTCAAAGAAAATAAAATTAGGAGTTAAAAAATTATTTAGAATATAAGTAGTTAGATTATTTAGATGAACAATGAAAATTTTGAAAGTAATTATTTTGAATAAGTTGAGTTAGGAGGAAAAAAGAAAACAAAACTGTAAACAGAAAATTTAAAACAAATCAATATTTTAATATTTGGAAATATATTAAATAATAGTGAATTTTTATTCTTTAAAAGAAATAGAATGAAAAAAAAATTCTTACCTTCAAGAATATGAAACTGTACATATATAGGGATATGTTATCACTTTAAAATTTTATTTTGATATAAATTAATTATTCACCATTTCAAAAATTAAGAAGACATTACTTATTTGTTCAATTTTATGCAATTCTCTTAGTATTTCCTTTCAGTAAAATGAAAGGAATTAATTAAATAAAATAATAATTTAGTAAAATGCAATCATATTTCTTTTAAATTTAAGGATATTTAATGAATTTTCAATTCTTGTGTAAAATCTAACTGTTTCAAAACTAAGGCTAATAATTTCCCGTTCGAAACATACAACTGTATAAAGGATGAGAATGAATGGTATCGTTTCAAGATACACTTATTACTCCAATTTCCAAAATAAGTGGTTTTTCAATGTGAAATTTCCAAAACAAGAGGTTAACCATTTCACATCGATCTTTCATATATTTAAAGAAAATTATTATTGAATGAAATAAAGTTAATTAGTAAAGATAGTTATATGAATGATATATTAAATTTAAATTAATTAGTAAATATAATTATTAAATGAAATAAAGTTAACTTAACTTAATTTTTAAAATAATTTCATAATGCGTGAAACTTAAATCTTGACAATTTACTATACATAAAAATAAAGATGTTAGTAATCAGTATTATAAACATTAATTAAGTGAAATGGTTTCAATTTAATTAATAAATAAATTATGTTTAATCATTAAATAGATAAATATTTAAGAAGATATATTTGATTAATCAATGAAATAATTATTTAATTAATATAAGATGAATTATGTTTTAATTTTGAAATAAATTTACATTATTTAATAATTAAGGAGTGAAATATTTTAAAAAGTAAATTTTGATTAAAAAAAAGTTGTATAATTAATTAATATTTAAAATTTACGAGTAACATGATAAACAGGTTATAACTATTCCAGAACCAAGGCTAATAATTTCCGGTTCAAAACATACAGCTGTACAAAGGAAGAGAATGAACGGTATCGTTTTTCAGTGAGAAATTTCCAAAAAAGAGGTTAACCATTTCATATCGATCTTTCGCATATAGTAAGTTAGTAACCCCTTGATTCCTTTACAAAAATTTGACGCAATTTGGAAATTTTGTTCATTGCCCTTAGTAGAGTTTGATAAAGAGCTTTGATTCTCTAGATTTTCTATCCTCATATTAAATAATTTTTTAATGTATAATTAAAGATACATGATAAAAATATAAGTTTGACTAATCAGCAGTGCAAACTAGATAAAGAAATGAAATTTTTTAAAAAGTACATTATCAAAAATCACAAAAGATTGGGCATTAATAACAATTTTTATAGAAATATTTCACTTTTAATATTTCAAATATGTTGGTTAACAATTATCTATAATTATACACATATATATAGTATATTTTTATTAAAATTATAAGATTCAATGTATTAATAACATTAAATATTATCATTTATAGTTTTTAGCATTTATTAATTTTTTATTTTATATCTCTACCCACATTGTAAATTAAATTATCAACACAATTTGCAAAATGTACTTGGCCTCATTTTCAACAACAGACCTTGTTACTTACTACACATGGATCAAGGGTGAGAGAAAGTGAACATTGATAGGATGTAGGAGTACTAGTGAGCTCTAGTTACAGTTTCATGCAGGAAGAGAGAGATGGAAGAAGAGGGTAACTTGAAGGGTGAAGAGGCATTTAGGAAAACGAGAGTGCCAAAATGGAGAAAACAGATAACATTGAGATCAATGGTGACAAGCTTTGTGATAAGTGTAATTTTCAACTTCATTGTGTGCAAACTCAACTTCACCACAGGAATCGTACCATCCCTCAACGTAGCTGCAGGTTTGTTGGGGTTCGCAGTGATCAAGTCCTACACTGCACTGCTCAACAAGTGTGGCCTTCTCAGACAACCCTTCACTCGCCAAGAGAACACTGTTATCCAAACTTGCGTTGTAGCATCCTCTGGAATCGCATTCAGTAGTGAGTTTCATTTTTGTTTCCTTGCCCACCCTTTTTGTCACATATAATACATTAATAAAAGTATGGTGACAATTCGAAGTTGACATAGCGTAACGTAACACTGCTTGCGTGCCATTACAAGTGCATGAAAATGAATATAAAACAAATTAATTTAGGATTTACTTTTAGATTAATTGGTGCCCCCCGGTTGTAAATTTATATAGATCTTTTCTTTTTTGAAAATTCACCTTGAATTTATAAGATTTTTCCCAAATTTTAGCAAATACTAGCTTGATGTTTAGTGGTAAGCTATATCAACTATCTAATCAATGGGTGGTGAGTTTAGAAGATACACGCCTAATTTCTTTCAAGCAAGTTCTCAAGTTCAAACCTTATATGAGGAGAAAAAACTCGCTGAGAGACAAAATTTTTAAAAAATAATAATAAAATAAAAGTGATGATAAATACAGTATAAAGTAATAATAGACACTGATTAAAAAAATAGATAAAAGAATGTCATACGATACTGTCAATTAGCTCCTGTTGAAGCTACAGATTATTTGTTGTGTTACGTGCTCCCACTTACTAGTTGGGTAGGTACAAGACGAACACTAGCAACAGGTTTTATAACACATTATTTTTAATGTACTTTTAATTGTTGGGTAAAATTTATAGAAAACCGCACAAGTAAAAGAAAGAAAACCATTACTCAGGAGCGAAAAGAGTAAAACACATGTTTTTAAGCAAAATTTAATTATTTGTCTTCTAAATAGGTGGCACTGGAAGTTATCTACTTGGGATGAGCCCATATATTGCTTCTCAAGTTAATGGGGGGAACACGCCAATCAATAGAAAGGAACTGTCCCTTGGTTGGATGTTTGGTTTTCTCTTTGTGGTTAGCTTTGTGGGCCTTTTCTCTATCGTACCTCTAAGAAAGGTTGGTACAAAGAAAATATAACTCTGCATTGAGCTTTCATGTAAATTAATGAATTATAAAATTTCAATTGGCATTTCACAGCTGATGATTTTGAAGTACAATCTAACATATCCGAGTGGAACTGCCACAGCTCTTCTAGTCAATAGCTTACACACACCTAAAGGAGCAAAGTTAGCAAAGTAAGTAATATAATGCAAATAATTTGCATATACGGATGGCACACCACAACAAACTGTTTGTTAATTTGTGATGAATTACTTAACCTTATCATTCTTGTGTATGCAGGAAACAAGTTTCTTTGCTCTTCAAAAGCTTTTGTGGCAGCTTTGCTTTCGCTTTTTTCCAGTGGTTTTTCACTGCAGGAGATAGTTGCGGATTCAGCAGTTTTCCCACATTTGGTCTCCAACCCTACAATAGAAAGTATGCATATACATAGATCTTACATCTAAAATTATCTTCTACTATTAAGATTCAAAATAAAATAGAAAGTATGAATATTATATTCTACTATTTAAGATTGTTTGGACTTTGGAGTATCAAAACTAACTTCAATTAAGATTGTTCAATTTCCTTTTCAATCAAGGATTTAACATAAGGGATGTTCCCTTTATAAGATATAGTATACTAAGAATAGTTGATTATAAAATTATTAGTTGAGATTGTAACTAACTTTAAAGTTTTTTATGCCTGTACTTGATTTTGCATATGCTTATTTCATCGTTGACTTAACAGTGCGCACACTGCATGGCAAAATATCAGTGGCCATGATTTGTCTAGCACATTTTCTATGCCCATCCAATGGCAGCACAAGAGTTTCGCTTTCATCAAACTGGGTTTGAGCTCAATAAATTATCACAATTTCGATCATTGATTTTTTAAATCAATGACTATAAATGTACTTTATTTATCCTCCGAAGTGTACCCTTCACTTTAGAGGGGCCAGATCCTTCAATAAAAGACTTCTTTACTTAATTGGTTCCAACAAAAATTTTTTATACATCTAATTGAAGTGTATAAAAGATAAAACATTAATCTTACTGTAGTATATAATTTGAATCTGATTTCACAGGTTCTACTTTGATTTCTCATCTACCTATGTCGGAGTTGGAATGATCTGCCCTTACCTGGTAAATGCATCTTTGCTTCTTGGAGCTATAATCTCATGGGGTATTCTATGGCCCTGGATTGAGCACAAGAAAGGAATCTGGTATAGTGCAGATCTACCTGCCAGCAGTCTAAGTGGCATCCAAGGATATAGGGTACACACATATCCATTTAGCATTATGAATTGTTCATAACTTGAGTACGTATATGTTAATAATTTGCTTAAGCTATGTCATATTGTTGAGTACTTACTATAAGAAAATCTATGAACAGGTCTTCACAGCAATTGCTATGATGCTTGGTGATGGTCTTTACCATTGCATCATCATGCTAATACGAGTTCTCTTCCTAAGCATTGTCTTCAACTGGCTATTATATTTTTTTGCTCTGCCGTGGTCATTAACATTGTACGTGATTTTTTGATGCATTATGAGACCAAGTTTAGGATATATAGGTTTGTTCCAAATCCTATGTGCTTGGCCATCCCATTCTACCTTGGTGGGTACTTTGCTATTGACATGTGCATTGGGAGCATGATTCTGTTTTGGTGGGAGAAAAAGAACAAGCAGAAAGCAAAGGATTATGCTCCTGCCTTGGCTTCTGGACTAATCTGTGGTGATTCTTTGTGGTGTGTTCCAGCTGCTATACTTTCTCTTGCAGGAACTAAGCCACCAATTTGCATGAAATTCTTATCTAGCGCTGTGAATAAGAAGGTTGACACCTTCTTGAGTGGTGCTCAATAATGCATCTTTCGTTTGAAAGTTATGGGAAATTCTTTTGGACATTGTTAATGAGTACCAAAGGTTTGAACATATGGTCAGATTTAATCGTTAATCGTTAATAGCACTTAGTTTCACTTTTTATATAATATAGACTTATGAAGGCTTGGGTTTGTACATGTCCATAGGAAGTTGAATGGAATTAAATTACACGCATATAAATTATACTCATTATTTTTTATTAGATAATTTTATGTTAGAACAATCTATGAGATAAAATATTTTTATCATCTAGATAATATTTATAAAGTTTTAAAAAATTAATTTTAAATTATTTACTATTTTATTCATAAAATAAAATTAATGTAATATATGTTTTTCAAGTATGCAAAATTGAAAATGCTTTAGTTATATTTTTATAATCATTCAATTTTAAACTAAATTTAATATAAATAATTGGAAAAATATATAATTACAATTAAATGGTTAGATAGATAACAATTACATTTTAAATAACGTTATTATTAATATAAGAATTGGTGCATCTCATGCTAATTTAATTTGATCTTTACTTTATATTTGAGGATAATGTTTTTAGCTTAAATTGGATAGTCAAATTCTATTATTTGTTTTTTTTTTTTTTACTTGTCACTTGCTTTAGTGATATAAATAACAATTACCTACGCAATGAGATAATTTGTATAAGAGTGGTTGCATTTATACATGATTAATTTTTTGTACAATAATGAATCGATATAGTGTGAGTGAATATTTGTTTAAAGATATAAATACTATTTTAAACAAATTGTAATATCTTTTTCACACAAACACGAAAAAAATATAACTAACACAGACCAAACAAAATTTTCTCATTCATTATTTTCTTTTAATTTATTTCATCTATTTTTACATAATTTTAATTCAATTGTATGCCTTAATTCTACACTTTTAAGATATAGAGGTGGATAAAGATAAAGATTAAATATAATTCGAGAAGGAACAACTTTTATTTTATCTTATTTTTATTATTATCAAGATATTAAAACAAATAATATTATGTCATTCTTTTTAATTTTGAGATGAATAAAAAATAATATAAACAAAATATAAATTATATTAAAGACAATATTATTTTTTTATCAAAATTTATATAATTTTTTTAAATAATTTTTTTTAGTTTTTAAATTTTCAATATATATTAAAAATAAAAAACAGTGCACATAATATTAAATTATAATAATTATATTCAGTTTTTTATAATTAAAATTTATTTTTAGCAAGAAATTATAATTAGAACAAAAAAAAATAAAAACTTAAAAAATATTTTTGTAAAATTATTAAAATGTGTTTTTACAAATATTTTTTAAATATACTTTTCTTTGAAAAAATTATAGTCACATTTAAAAAATTTACTTTTCAAGTTTAGTAAAAATTGTTCATATAATTTTTTATGAAAATTATATTTTTAAAAATATTTATTTTTTATAAAATATTAAAATTGTATAAACTCATAATACTCATAATTATCAACTTTACTTAAATTTCATTGTATTCCAGAAGCCATAAACTCCCAATTTATTACTTCTACACTATCAATAATGTCTACTCCCTCAATCCATTATAAAGAAATAGGATTTTGCATAATATAAATCTTTAATATTCAACGACTTTTTTTAAAAAATAATTATAAAATACGAATAAAAATATAATAGAAAAAATTATCTCTTTAAAATAATAATTTAAATTATGATATCAAAAAAATAAATTACCATATCTTATTAATCAATAAATATAAAAAATAAGAATAGATAAATTTATCGCTATCACTTACATTTTTAGCTGAATTTCTTAAATGTATACTAAGCACATTTTTGATAGTTTTAAATTCAAAGTTAAGAAATAGTCAATGTTTTAACATAATCGTGTGATCAAAAGTTAATGATTAATTATATTAATATTAATTAATTTAATATTATTTAAATTATTCTCTGTTTAAATATCTATTTAAATTTTCTTAATAAATAACTAATTCAGAATATGTTATTTGAATTCAAGATAATGCAAAAAATTAAATTTTATCATTAAATTAATTATAAAATATGAAAATCATTATTCTATGTAAATGTAATAAAATAATTATAATAAAATTTTCTATGTAAACAATAATAAATTTTTTACCGTTTTTTTTTTATCAATAATTTTAATATTATTTTATGTAGATATTAATATTATATCATATGGTATAATAAAACATTATTTCATGGTAGTATAACGTTTTATAATTTAAGTTTACTTTTACTTATAATATTTTGGTATTATAGCAAGATAATAACGTAATATGTTGTATAATATTATAATGGTGAGTTGTTGCGATAGTTTATTAATTACATATGGGATTTAACCCTTTAAAATGAAAAAATATGTAAAATATAAAAGTGAACACTTTTTATTATTTATTTGAATTTAATTATTATTATTATTATTATAATAGAAGAGTAAATTATTTTTAGTTTCACTAAAAAAAATGCATATAGTACAATACTCTTTTTTTTATTTTAAAATATATATTTCTATTTTCTAAAAATTAAAATGCTTTACAATTTAATTTATTTTAATTTATTTTATAAGCAATGTCTAACATTAGTTGGTATTTTTTATATTAAAATATATTTTTTAAGAAATTTTACATTTTTCCTGTAAATTTTTAAAAAAGTTTAATGAGCTAAATATATATATTTTTATGAAAAAGTAAAGGATTTCATTGTTATAATAGTTTTAAAAACTTATCTTGCATTAAATAATAAAAATACAACTAAAGTAGTTATCACTTTTAATGAAAACATACAGTTTACAGTACAAGATATCTAGATTCTTTCGGATCGTAATATGAACTAAATAAATCTAATTTTATTTTAAAAAAAATTATATAAATTTTACTTAAACAAATTTTGTATTATTTTTTTCACTTCTTTGACATTCTCTTTTTTCAACCACATTTTTTTTTCATGTACAACTTCTTTCTCTTGCCACACTTAACTCTCATTTTTCAAACTCTTTCTTATCTGATATCCAATTTTGCTTTTCCTCTCCCATTTTCTTCTTTTCCTCCGCACCCACACTCCAGCCCTTCTTCTCTTTCTTTTATTCCTAACTTCTCTCCTTTTTTTTTTATACCCTTCTCTCCTCAACTCCATATTTATATGCTCCTTCTTTGTTCTTAACCTCTTTTTTTTCTCTACATGCATAGAGGTGTCAATTTAATCATAGACCCATAAGCCCCTTCACACACCCTACTATATATTCCTATACATAGTGGTCTTATTTTGGTTCTAAGTCCTAGTATATAAATAAAATATGAGCTAAAGTTAAGATAAAATGTGACATGCATTTGCTCTCTTCATTCCACACCCATCTAACTTCTTATTTATTCTCTTTAACAAAAAAAACATGAGAATTTGCTTAATTTTTTTGTTATATTTTATTTTTATTTTTAAAAAATAAAACTAAACATCTAATTCTTGCATTAACAAAAGATAATTTAAATATGATCTTGAGAGCACATAAATAAAAATTAAATTTTATGTAAAAATTAAATTAATAAGTATATACTTTTAAATTGACAATATGCTTGATTTTTAAATTTTTTCGTTCTTTTCAATGCGTTAAAATTACAAGTTTATTTATATTTTGTATGTTACGGTAAAGAACAATTTTTTATTTTTTATTAAAAATATATTAAGCTCATTTATTGTTGTGAAAAGTTTATAATAAAAGTATACAATTTATTAAAAATAATATTTTAATAAAAAATGTTAAATAGGTGTTTAACGGTATTTTGACAAAAATACTTAAAATAAATTAAATTGTGATGCGTTTTATTTTTTTAGAGGGAAGATTTATATAATTTTCAAATAGAAAAGATAATAGTATAATATATACATCTTTTAAAGAGGAGAATATAATTTATTAATATATAATTAAATTTTAAAGAAAACAATAAAAATTTAGTTTTTTATTTTATAGATCAAGGAAGAGTCAAATTTCTTAGTTTTTATTTAAAAGATTAGAAAGTTTTTTATAATATCAATACAGTCATATTTATTAGGCTTTAGATGAAAGGAAGAGAAACTATTAAAAGAACCTCTTATTTTAGAAAAATTGAAGAACATGATCTTAAAAGGTCTGTAAAAATTACTCAAATACATTTAAAAACCTTAAAAAAAAATTATAAATATTTTCTTTTTCTCGTTTCCTCTGTGAAAATTCACTAAAAAAAAGAAAAAGCTCTGAACCGAGCCGAGTATACCTGGTAGAATGGTTTTGAACCGAACCGCACTGGTCTGAAACGAATCATCGGTATCACGCGTTATTTCTCGAAATGGAATACAAAATTCTAAACCCCACATTGTTCAAGTTTGAGGTCTAACTTAGCTCCCAAAATTCTTCAAACTGTCATGGCTTCTTCTTCTTCGCCCCAGGTTGGTTCCCTATATAATTTTTCTTTTTCTGATTATTTTCTTATTTTTATTTATTTATTTATTTATTTCGATTTTCTTTTTTTCCTTTGGCGTTTTGTTGATCATTATCGCTTCTTGGATCATTTCTTAGTCAAACCATTATTTCCATTATATCTGACTCTGACTGAGTATTCAAACTAAAACCCTGAATCGATGCTATGCTATTTCGTTGATTCCATTTCTTTCTTTTTGAGTGTTTCATATACTAATATTTGGGAAGAGAAGAAAAAAGATTATGTTTTCATATTTGATGTTATTATTATTATTTTTTTGGTGGAAATTATGTTACTTGATGTGGCTATATTGTTAAATTTTTGTGATAAACTTTAGCTACTGTATTGTTAAATTGAACAGAAAATCAAATGTTAAAATGCTTAATGAAAAAATCAGGTTGGTAGGAAGGAATCTGGGTACTAAGTCTCCAATACCCTTTTTAGTTTTGAGTTTTGAGTGAGAACTGAGAATGGATTTAGGTTTATCAAGAATGGAATGGCACAGGATCAATAGGAAATTGCACTTTTGGAGAAAAGAGCAACAAATTAATTAATTACCCTTCTGTGATACGAGATTCTGTTTAAAGTGGTTGTTAGGGAAGGTGCAGAATAGAGAACAGAAAGAAAATGGGATTGTACAGTGAGGCTTGATTTTCAGGCCTTTACTATTTTGTTGGTAGAGGGTGAAAAATGATTTTGGCTAACTTACATATTTTGGATGGAGAGGCCAGAATGAGTTCATATTGACGCTAAACCAAACCACATTTTTTGTTTGGCTAAACCGGTGGAAGATTATTAACTACAAAGCACAAACTCTGCATAGACACTAGACATGACACAAACACTATGACATAGCTAATGTCTAAAATATAGCATACAAGACCTTGTGTGTTTTAATTAGCTTATTTTCTGGGAAAAGAAAAGCCATTTTGTGGCAGCTTTGTGAGAGAGCTTTCAAGAAGAGGCTTATTATTTTCCTAGAAATAGCTGAAACAAAAATACAAGGGTTTGGTTGAAAATGAATGAAGTACATAGAATAAAAATTTGTATGTTGTGTACCTTTCATACCTAAAAGACAATGGCATGGCATGATACATGACAACTTCTGCTGGGTCAGCATCAGTAATCAACCATCCTAGCACAACTTTGTCATTGATTCTTACTTCTTAGAGGTTTGCTAAATCAGGATGGAGGCAAGTAGTCAGATAGAATTTAACCCTTTAATTTCAAATAATATGCTGTCTTATAAAAAATGAAGGGTACACTGTAGTTAGATGTAAACTTGACAAAAATATCAGAAACTGGGGATTTGAGCTTGCTTATGTGTAGTAGTTCCTTTAACAGTTAGGTTGGGGCTCCTTAATGTATTAATTTTGTTATTTTTATTATTGTTATTGTTGTTAGAAAGGAAATGTGAATTTTTAGCACAGGGAAAAGGAGTAATGTACAATTTTTTTCTTGTACTGTTAATGGAATTTTTAAACTTCTTTGGGAATCATATGATTTTGGATGTCCTTATTATTTAGCCCTTAACGATTTCTCAGTCTCAGTCATTTAGTAAATAGATGACTTCATGGCTGTTATTGCTTGCCTTTTTTTTCCCTACAGTTTGAAAATTTTATACCTACCTTGGTTGCTCATGTAAGTCACATATAGGAGGAATATGTAACTGAGGTTACTGAAAATTATGAGACGATGTGCTGGGGTTGTGGACTACGTGTTTTGATTCCATCATGTGCATCAGCTTTCAAATGTGGCTGGTGTGGGGCCATTACAGATCAAAACAAACAGAAACGTGACCAGAAGTGCTTCAAGTGGAGAATAGTGCGTGATCGATGCTTTGTTTCTGTTGTCCTCGTGTTTATGTTCTTTGTAATATGTAAGTCTCTGCTGTTGCTACTGTTTTCTGCTTTTATTTGTTGTCATCCTTTATGATCAGACTTGTTTTTATTTTCCTCTGGGGTCTAGGTCTTCCTTTTAATTTTTTCCTTCCTTTTCTGTTTTTTCCTCATCCTGATAACATATTTGATCAAATACCTCTCTAGTATTAGAAGTTTGACTGATACATTCAAATTGAGAGTTGATGGTGTACAATTCTTCCATCACTTTATAGTAGTTTAGGGGGACTTGTCTTACAAATATATGATGTGATAAGAAGGTTTTGAGCATGATATATGCCAATTGAAAAGTAAACTCAACCAAAATAATTCAGAAAGGTCTGAGCAATGAGCATACAAGAAAGACTGATAGAAATCTTGTATCTTTATTAGGAAACACAAGGAGGAACTCTCCAATTTACTGAAATCTAAACACACCCTCAACACTTCTTTGAGGAACTACACCTCCTAAGCCAAAGGCCCAAACTCTCTCACAATTGACAAGTTGATCTCTCTCTCTCTACCTCCCTCTTATTTATAGACGCAATATGCCTTTTTTCTTCTACAATCTTAACCTAGTGCCTAACTATTAACTAATTCATGCCAACTAACGAATATATTGTAACTAACAACTAATGGATCCCTAACTAACATCATTACTAACTACTAATGGGAGTTACCTAACAATACATCCCTTCTAAAGTTTCACCTTGTCCTCAAGGTGAAGGATTGAGTAAATACCTTGAGTAGCCGCCGAAATAAAGTCCTATTGACGTTCCAACTGATTGAAGCATGATAATGATTTTAATTTCACCTTGCAGCCAAAAGTGGCTTTCATTCCTCGTGTGTAATGCAAACATGTGAATGGATCCAATCTCTTTTAAATTTTAATACTTTGTTTTCTTTTGTATTTTTAGTCCTGAAACAGTGCATCATTGCCTCTTCAAGTGTACTAAGAACCTAAGGTTCTATTTAGAATTGCACTATAGCAAATTGTAGAAGCTAATGATCATCATAGTTCCTCACTACCTTTTGCTAGGTCTGTTGCTTAGGAAAAGAAATTGATTGAATTCCTAAAATTTTCTTTTTGTCATCAACTCATGTGTCACCCCACCACCTTTCTCTACTATCACTTCCAGAATATTATTGGTTCCCTACTCCTCAACTTCAGAAATATTCTCTGTTTGTGTCCTTGTATGCCCTTCTAGTTTTGTTTCTGAATCTTCCTCCTGTAATCTTGTCATTTTCACAATTTTCTGAGCAGATTTTGATTTGTGTAATCTAATTGATTTTTCCAAAGAACTATTCATTTTCAAGCCTCCCAAAAAAAATACTTAGAGCAAATGATTCTTCCACAGGACCCTAGCTAGTAACTCTTAAAATGCCTCGAAATAATTTTTTAGGGATCCTATCATATCTGCTTTACTCTTGATAATTATAATATGCTCATCAAATCTACAACCAATAAAAAAAGAATTTGGCGTCAACCTAAATTCTCCTTTCCTAATCTTTTCCCTCCATTGCCAGTGACAAATTGGCCTCTGTTTTCTGGAACCATGTTGATGGGACCCAAACCCCCAATGAAGGCCTCTTGGATGCGAGTCTGACGAAACCCACAATTTGGCGGGTTTATTCCTGTAAGAAGAAATCCAATAATCAGTAACAAGGGCTTATTAGGAAGTTAATTAGGATTTTGAATAAGATAAGCTTATTAGGAAGTTAGTTAGGATTTTGAATAAGATAAGCTGGGGATATTTTGTTAGAAGAGATAAGGATTAGATTAGTTAGCTATTCTTTATTTAAGCATTCAATTTTGGTTATTAGGGGGTTTTTTTGGTTTTCTTTGAATAAGAGAACGGAGAATTTCATTCTTTGGGAGGAGCTATCGCTCTGGGGATTCTTGTAATCCTAGTCCTGCAAGTAATTAATAAAAGTTCTGTTTTCTTCGTTAATCGTCTCTGGACCCTAACAATTGGTCTGACCTGCCAGGTCATTCTTCCATGCATACGAGATCAACGGAAAGAATGGAAGCACCAGATGCAAGAATTCAGAGCATGGAGACTGCCTTTGCGGATTATTGAGCGTTGATGAGGGAAGAGATGAAAGAGAGAGATGCAAAGCTTTTGGAGGACATGCAGAGATTATTTCAAAGCAGAAATGAGGAGGGGCCAAATATGAATTTGCATTCTCGTAGAACTGTGCCTAATAATGGGGATGATTACTGAGCCGCAATCAAGAAGGTTGAACTGCCTCCATTTGATGGGGTGGACCCCGTTGGTTGGATTTGTAAGGTCGGAACTTATTTCGATGCCCATGGTACTTTGGAGGAGATGAAAATCCGTCTCTCAAAATTGAGTATGGGTGGTAATACCATCCATTGGTTTAATCTGTGGAGAGATGAGGTAGGCGATGCCACATGGGAGCACCTGAAGAGGTCTATGGTAACAAGTTTTGGGATCGTGAGGCTCGACAATCCGAATTGGTTGCGGTTAAACAAATAGGTTTTGTCGAGGAGTGCATAGAAACTTCTGAAATCCTTGCGTCACAAGTGCCGCCGCCATTGCTGGACGTTCACTTTTTGGGCTTTTCTATGAATGGTCTCCGGCCAGAAATCAGGAGGAAGGTGCGAGCTGCTGTCCCTAACCTCCTGAACAGCTATGGTATGCGTTGCTTGTTGGGGGGTGTTCTGACATAAGGCACCTATACCTGGATGAGCTGATGGATTAGAAAAATAAAGGACTTTGCTTTTGCTGTGGAGAAAAATTCAGTCCTCGTCATCAATGCCCTAAGAGATCATTGAAGGTAATGCTCCTGGATGAAGGAGAAGAACAAGGAAAGGATGGTGTGGTCGCGGCTATTGTAGTGGAAGAAGACAAAGGTGATGTTCCGATAGAGTGCAATACTATTAGGCTGTTGGGCCTTTGCCAAGTCAGACTGCAACATGTGGGCACTTTCAAGTTGGAAGGGAATTTGGGCCACATCCCAGTCTTGGTCCTTGTTGACAGTGGGGTTAGTGAAAATTTCATAAGTCTGACAGTAGTTACTTGGACTCGGCGTGGATCCGGGTCCCAGCATTTGGGTCAAATTAGGGGATGGGAGGAATCGACTTAATCCTCGGGGTGGCGTGGTTGAGAACGTTGGGAACGGTTACTATAGACTGGAGCCACATGTCTATGTCTTTCCAATGGCAAGGGAGAATCGTGGAACTTTGAGGAGTTTGTGCACGAGAGAGAAAGGCATCATGGCAATGACCATTGCTACACAACTTGGTTGAGGAACGATTATTGGGACTCGAGGGTTTGGTGTGGCAGTATGGGGCGTCTACAAAGGAGCCGGAGTACCCTTCTCTTTTGTCATCTCAAATAAGGGAGATTACATGGGTGCTTGACCAACACGCAGATATTTTTCGAGAGCAAACAGGGCTTTCACTGATTTGAGGCGTGGAGCATGCTATCATTCTCAAGGACGGAGCTGGGCCTATTAGTGTGAGATTGAACCGATATCCCCACCACCAGAAGGATGAATTGAGCATCAACTGAAGGACTTAATAGTGCAAGTAGTTAATCGGCCAAGCTCTAGTCTTTTTTCGAGTCTTGTCATACTTATGAAGAAGGATAACAGTTGGCATATGTGTGTTGAAGACGTTCACAAGATGGCATTATGCACTTATGAAGGCCATTATGAGTATCTTGTGTTGTCCTTTGGGTTGATGAACGCTCATGCTACTTTCTAGTCAACAATGAACCTGATCTTTAGGCCATTACTATGAAAATTCATGTTATTATTCTTTGACGATGTATTGGTGTAGAACAAGGACTGGAACTCACACTTGAAGCATCTGACCTTGGTCCTTCAGACTTGTAGGCTAATTAGTTTGTCGTAAATAGGAAGAAATGTTGCTTTGGAAGGGCACAGGTTAAGTACTTGGGCCACGTCGTGTCGGCTGCAGGGGTGCACGTTGATCTTAGCAATGTTTGGAGTGTCCTAGATTGGCCTATCCATAAGAAAACTATCAAGCATAATCCATAATGTAACAAGTTAACAACACAAAATAGCCAAATCACTATGTTTTTGGTAAGTTACATAGCACAAACACCAAAATTAAATAGGAACTACTAACTAGTAATATTCGAAGATGTCTAATTAAACAATTGTGCTACATTAAAATCATAAAGATCTACCATATGGTATTCATCTTCATCTCCATCAACTTCATTATCCAAATTTAGCATATCAACATCATTCTTAACAACATTGTTTCCATCTTGGTTTTGGGCTAAGTTCTCATTTCCATCCAAGTCGAAATTGTGTGCATCCAAATCCAACCCTTCAATATATAACCCTTCAATATCTCCAACATCATTTTCTGCAATCCACTTATCATCAGATGAAACATCATCAAGGTCTAACTCACGAGCTCTCCTAAGTTGCTTCTTTTTTACTAATTTTGAATTAGCCATGACAAAGACATCATTCATTGTCTTTTGCTTCAAGCGATTTCTCCTCTTGGTATGGACCTAAACACATTCAAATATGTATAAGCAATCTGTAGGCTTGTAGAATGTAGATAATTGAAAGCAACTTTACTAAAAATCTTACCATCTCAAATGCACTCCAATTATGTTCACATCTAGAGGAACTACATCTTAAACTTAATACACAAATGACAAACTTTTGAATCTTTGGATGTTCGTCTTCATACGACTCCCACCAATCAGTTGGGGTCTTTTTCTGAAGTGTTGCTCTAGCTAAGGAGCTGCCGAAAAACATTTTCTGTTTCTTAAAATCATCAATTTTGTCCTGTTCCTCAATATCGGGCACCATCATTGCCATACAATTATATAGGCCTCGTTTAACTTAAAGATCAACTTTAAATTTAGAACTATAATGTAATTGAGGGTTGAGAAAATAATCAGCAACGTGTAAAGGCCTATGAAGTTGTTTGTTTCATCTATTATCAATAATATTCCACAGAGGCATGTAACTAAAAAAAAATAAAATG